CCACCACCACGCCCGGCTAATTTTTGTATTTTTAGTAGAGATGGGGTTTCATCATATTGGCCAGGCTGGTCTTGAACTCCTGACCTCAACTGATCCTCCCACCTCGGCCTCCCAAAGTAGTGTGATTACAGGCATGAGCCACCACTCTCGGCACCCAATTCTTAGTAAAGGAAACAGAACGCTCGTTCTAGGGAATAATGTTCAGAAACTTAGGTGTTTGGGGATATCCTTATCTTTTGTGTAGTGTGTGGGCAGATGTTAGCATTTACTAAAGACTTTCCTTCCCATTACCACACCCTAGAGGCTGATTTCACATTTCCAGAATGAACTGGGGTCCTGTCCCTTCTGATCTTTAGTTGTCAGACCTTCTTAGACCCCAGTGTCTTTATCCAAAAAGCAGGTGGACAATAACATCCTCTCTGCCTCCCCACAGAGTGAAACGAAAGAAGGAACTATTATAAACACAATTCATAGACCTTAAAGCACTGGAGAGATATTCGTTGTTGTTTTTTGTTTTTTGTTTGTTTTTTTTTGAGACGGAGTCTCTCTCTGTCGCCTAGACTGGAGTGCAGTGGCACAATCTCGGCTCACTGCAACCTCTGCCTCCTAGGTTCAAGTGATTCTCCTGCCTCAGCCTCCTGAGTAGCTGGGATTACAAGTGTGTGCCACCACGCCCAGCTAACTTTTGTATTTTTAGTAGAGAAGGGGTTTTACTATGTTTCCCAGTCTGGTCTCGAAGTCCTGAGCTCAAGCAATCTGCCCACCTTGGCCTCCCAAAGTGCTTGGGACTACAGGTGTGAGCCATCATGCCTGACCTCACTTGTAAATTTTTAAACACATAGGTGGAGTCAGACATACATAGTCTTGCAGAGATAATATTATGTATGTAATTTCATTTAAGTTGTAAGAGTTGGTGTATTTGCTTTCATATTGAAGGTAGACCTTCATACTGAGGGTCACTGAAGTAGCTATTCCATTGGACTGTTAGACCATATTCTTGCTGTTTGGACTGTTAAAGTGTTTCTTTGAACAACTTTGTACATGTTGAGTTTTCTTTTGGATTAGTTCTTTGAATATTTTCCTCAAAGTCAGTTTACCCAGATGAAGCATTAAATAATTTTATAGCTCTGGCCAGACATGGTTGCTCATGCCTATAATCCTAACACTTTGGGAGGCTGAGGCGGGCAGATCACACCACTGCACTCCAGCCTGGCGAAAGAGCAAGACTCCATCTAAAAAAAAAAAAAAAAAAAAGGCCAGGCGCGGTGGCTGACATCTGTAATCCCAGCACTTTGGGAGGCCGAGGCGGGCGGATCACGAAGTCAGGAGATCGAGACTATCCTGGCTAACACGGTGAAACCCCATCTCTACTAAAAATACAAAAAATTAGCCGGGCGTGGCGGCGGGCACCTGTAGTCCCAGCTACTCAGGAGGCTGAGGCAGGAGAATGGCGTGAACCCGGGAGGCGGAGCTTGCAGTGAGCGGAGATCACGCCACTGCACTCCAGCCTGGGCAACAGAGCAAGACTCTGTCTCAAAAAAAAAAAAAGCATTAACCTGGCATGGTGGTGGGTGCCTGTAATCCCAGCTACTCGGGAGGCTGAGGCAGGAGAATTGCTTGAATCTGGGAGGTGGAGGTTACAGTGAGCTGAGTCACTGTACTGCAGGCTGGGCAACAGAGTAAGACTCTGTCTCAACAAATAAATAAATGTTAAAAAACTATAGAGCCCTTATAACACTGTTTTCTAAGAAGACGAAGTGACTTCCCAGGCTAGTGCCTCTGTTTGCCTGTTTTTCAGTGTCCTAGGCAATTTTTTAAAAATTTATTTTATTTTATTAATTAGTTAAGTTATTTATTTATTTATTTTTTGAGACGGAGTCTTGCTCTGTCACCAGGTTAGAGTGCAGTGGCGCAATCTTGGCTCACTGCAACCTCTGCCTCCCGGGTTCAAGCGATTCTCCTGCCTCAGCCTCCCGAGTAGCTGGAATTACAGGCGCCCACCACCATGCCTGGCTAATTTTTGTATTTTTAGTAGACGTGGGGTTTCACCATCTTGGCCAGACTGGTCTCGAACTCCTGACCTCATGATCCACCCTCCTCGGCCTCCCAAAGCACTGAGATTACAGGCATAAGCTACCATGCCCAGCCTCCTTGCCAATTTTTAGAAATGTTTTGTTTTCTAGTTTAATAGTTGCTTTAATAGGCATTTTAAAGTGACTGAATAGGGCTAAGGACTTTCGCCTGAGGGAGCCCGGTTTCTCCTTGTTTGAACTATTGGAGTTATTTGACTACTCATTATAGTAATTGCTCAGAGGACAAAGATGAAGGCCAAGCAAGTTCCATGACAAATGGCCATAGGCAGGATTGGGAGGAGAGTCTAGGCCTCAAGACTCCCAGCCCAGTTTCCCTTCTGCTGTGTCTGTCACACTGCATCTCATGAGCCACAGAGAATTTGCACGTTTGGATCCTTTAGAGCATCCTCCTGCTTTTCCCATGCCCTGGCCCATTGAATTCTTGGGTCCCATCTCCATAGCATCCCTGATAAACGATTATTTCTAAACTTGCCGCCTTGGCTGAGTGCAGTAGCTCACACACTTTGTAATCCCAGCACTTTGGGAGGCTGAGGTGGGATGATTGCTCGAGGCCAGAAGTTTCAGACCAGCCTGGCCAATATGGCAAAACCCCGTCTCTACTAAAAATACAAGAATTAGCCTGGCATGGTGGCAGGCGTCTATAATCCCAGCTACTCAGGAGGCTGAGGCAGGAGAATCTCTTGAACCCGGGAGGCAGAGGTTGCAGTGAGCCAAGATGGCACCATTGCACTCTAGCCTGGGCAACAGAATGAGGCTCCATCTCAATAAACAAACAAACAAACTTGCCAACTCATAAGGCAGTTTAAGCCAGGTGCTATGTATGGTTCACGCCTGTAATCCCAGCACTTTGGGAGGCAAGTCAGGAGGATTGCGTGAGTCCAGGAGATTGAGACTAACCTGGGCAACATAGTGAGACCCTGTCTCTACAACAAATAACAATTTAAAAATTAGCTGGCAGTGGTGGTGGCCCGTATAGTCCCAGCTGCTCAGGAGGCTGAGGTGGGAGGATCACGTGAGCCCAGGACTTAGAGACTGCAATAAGCTGTGATCATACCATTGTACTCCAGCCTGGGTGACAGAATAAAACCCTGTCTCAAGAAATAAAATTAAAAATTAGGTGGGCATGGTGGTGTGCACCTGTAGTCTCACCTGCTTGGGAGGCTGAGTCAGAAGGACTGCTCACGCCCAGGAGTTCAAGGCTGCAGTGAGCTATGATTGCGTCTGTGAATAACCCCTGCACGCTAGCCTGGACAACATATTGAGACCCCCATCTCTATTAAGAAAATAATAAGAAATAAGAAATTTAAAAGGCAGGCTGGGCTCGGTGGCTCATACCTGTCATCCCAGCACTTTGGGAGGCCGAGGTGGGTGGATCACCTGAGGCCAGAAGTTCGTGACCAGCCTGGCCAACATGGTAAAACCCCATCTCTACTGAAAATACAAAAGTTAGTTGGGCATGGTGGTGGGTATCTGTAGTCCCAGCTACTGAGGAGGCTGAGGCTTGAACCTGGGAGGCAGAGGTTGCAGTGAGCCGAGATTGCGCCACTGCACTTCAGCCTGGGCGACAGAGTAAGACTCAGTCTCAAAAAAAAAAAAAAAAGGGCAGTCTAATGCACCTTTCAGATCAATCTAAAAAGTAGAAAAATCTTTTATTATTCCTTCATCTAACATACAGTTATTGAGTGCCTATAGGTGCCAAAATGGGAACTCTAGCACCTGAGAACACAGCAGTGAGCGAGGCTAAGTCCTTGCATGCATGGCCCAATGTTTCCAGTGGTGTGAGGTCAGCTTCCCTTTAATTTTCATTCACCAAGCCTAGCTCTGTCCCTTGGAGCAAGATAGAAGCAGTCTGCCATCTCCTGTGTACACTGGCCCTTCAGATATTTGAGGATATCTGCCCTCTCCAAACTGAATATTCCCAGTTCCTTTAGCTATTCCTTGGGCTATGTGATTCATAACTATATATTTTATCATTTTATCCAAGGGATACATAAAATGTAAACAATTTACCTATACAAAAAGAGGAAAATAAAACCAGCTCATAATCCTGCTAGTCCATCTGATTCTCTTTCTTTCTTTCTTTTTTTTGCTTAGAGTCCCGCTGTGTTGCCCAGGCTGGAGTGCAGTGGTGCGATCTCAGCTTACTGCAGCTTCTGCCTCCTGGGTTCAAGCAGTTCTCATGCCTCAGCCTCCCAGATAGCTGGGATTACAGGCACACACCACCATGCCCAGCTAATTTTTGTATTTTTGGTAGAGACAGGGTTTCACCTTGTTCGCCAGGCTCATCCTGAACTCCTGATGTCAAATGATCGACCTGCCTCGGCCTCTCAAAGTGCTGGGATTACAGGTGTGAACTACCATGCCCAACCCAGATATTAGGTTGTTTATAAAATTTCACCAGGAAAAGCAATATGACAGTTTACTCCCTTGCAGCTAGATCTTTGTACAAAGCTACATTGATTTCCTTATGTGAAAACCCCAAAAACAGAATTGGGTATGTGCAAGGATTTCCACTTTTCCAAGGGTTTGGATAATTTATTTCTAATTGCCCTTCCAAGAGTACCAGGTGATGGTGTGGTCGTAAAGCCCAGCCCATTGCGGTCACACTGCTCTGGAAGGGCTTCAGCCTGCAGTCATCCCTCCACGCGTGGCACCGAGTCCGGGTGCTGTCCTGCAGGGCTTCTGTTCCCCTCACCTGCTCCTGAACCTTGTTTACTTTGTGTGGAGCAAGAGTTCCTGTGCGGCACTTACAAGGCCACCATGGCTCTAAGAGGTGTGGAGTGCCTTAGCCGCTCGCTTGGTTTCCTTGGCTGTGTATAACCTGTGCTTTCTCCCTCTGTGTAGACCTGGGGCTAGGTGTGCTTAAGGCTAAAGAGGCTGATGAAGGAGGAAGGGCCACCTCGGGGAGTGCCAGGAAAGGAAAGCGGCAGCACAGTTCCCCTCAAAACCCACTTCTGGACTGCAGCCTGTGCGGGAAGGTTTTCAGCAGCGCCAGTTCTCTGAGCAAGCACTACCTGACGCACAGCCAGGAAAGGAAGCACGTCTGCAAAATCTGCAGCAAGGCCTTTAAGCGCCAGGACCACCTGTATGTAGGAGTCTGGTCAGAAAAACGTCTGTTCAGGGGCTGGGGGTGGGGACGTGTTCCTGGGTCTTCTTCCTGTCCTCCCAGATCAACCTGTCTCATCCTCTGTTGGGTTTTCCAGATGTGTATAACCTCTGCTCAGCCACAGCCACAGCCACTCCATTCTCTCTTTTTTTTTTTTTTCGTCTGTCATCCAGGCTGGAGTGTAGTGACATGATCTCAGCTCACTGCAACCTCCGCCTCCTGGGTTCAAGTGATTCTTCTGCCTCAGCCTTCTGAGTAGCTAGGATTACAGGCTCCTGCCACCGTGCCCGGCTAATTTTTGTATTATTTTTAGTAGAGACAGGGTTTCACCATGTTGGCCAGACTGGTCTTGAACTCCTGACCTCAAGTGATCCTCCTGCCTCAGCCTCCCAAAGTGCTGGGATTACAGGTGTGAGCCACCACACCCCACCCACTCTGTTCTTCTCACACCATCAGAGTGCAGGGAAGAGACTAGGTGCTGTTCCAGTCCCTAAATTAATACCTGTGGGGAAGCCACTGCTTCTGTTTGCAGACGGGCCCCTTGTGGGTTAAAAACACCTAACAACTGGCTCCTGAGTCAATTGTGTTATGGGAGGAGTTGGGCTAACTTTATAGAGCTATGTCCTTACTCTCTGGTAGGTGTCTAAGGAAAGGGGATCAGCGTTCTCTGTGTGTTGATATAGCACAGGACATGAAAGATGAGACACCTGCTTCTAGAACATGGCAATGGAGCATTAACCCTTGTTTTTCTTTTCTTTTTTCCTTTTTTTTTTGAGACGGAGTCTTGCTCTGTCATCCAGGCTGGAGTGCAGTGGCTTCATCTTGGTTCACTGCAACCTTTACCTCCCGGGTTCAAGCGATTCTCCTGCCTCAGCCTCCCGAGCAGCTGGGACTACAGGTGCTCGCCACCCTGCCCAGCTAATTTTTGTATTTTTAGTAGAGATGGGGTTTCACTATATTGGCCAGGCTGGTCTGAAACTCCTGACCTTGTGATCCACCCACCTTGGCCTCCCAAAATGCTGGGTTTACAAGCATGAGCCACTGCGCCTGGCCCTAGCCTTGTTTTTCTTTTTTTTGTTGTTGTTTTTTTTGTTTGTTTGCTTTTTTCTTTTTTAAAAAACTCATTCTGTTCCTTTTAACTTAAAAAGTATGAGGAGCAAATTTCCTTTTTTTTTGGACAGTCTTATTCTGTCACTCAGGCTGGAGTGCAGTGGTGTGGTGTGATCTCAACTCACTGCAGCCTCTGCCTCCTGGGTTCAAGCGATTTTCCTGCCTCACCCTCTTGAGTAGCTGGGACTACAGGCATGCACTACCATGCCTGGCTAATTTTTGTATTTTTAGTAGAGACAGGGTTTCTCCATATTGGCCAGGAGTCTAGAACTCCTGGCCTCAAGTGATCTGCGTGACTCAGCTTCCCGAAAGTGCTGGGATTACAGGTGTGAGCCACCGCTTAATGTCTTGGAAATGACAAGCTTGTCTTGCCTGTGGGGGAAGGAAAGACATTTTTCAAACCAGGAGACCTGCAAGTGGGAGATGAAAGTACCTTGCATTCTTACCGTGCTCCTCCCTTTCACAAGGGGCTTTGACTAATCCATCTTTCATCTTATCCTCTCACCCACACCTACCCCAGGAAAAGGAGCCGATTTGCTCATGTCACAAGTTGGTAACAGCTGGGAGTAGAACTTAGTCTCCTGATTCCCTCTGTTGCTTCCCTCAGACAGAGGCCGAGGGTGAGCCTTTGGGGAAAGACTTTATGATTTAGTCCACATCGACTAGGACTGTCCAGAGCAGGGCTGTTGGGGGCCCAGAGGGTGATGTACTCCTCTGCTTATATTTATAATGTGTTAATGCAGAGGTAGGTGTGATGCGATACATATTTTACATGCATTTCTGTTTGCAGAAACTATAGGCACATTTGGTTGGTTGGCTCTATAATGTTTCTATGGATTGGGCCTCTGTAAATTGGCTTCTTTGCTGTGCGGGGTTCCAGGTAGCATCTTCTTAGGGGTCTCCTATGGTAAGGCACAGATTCCTTTGTTAAAGGAAGGATCATACCCAAGTTAGCATCTCCTCCAGTCTATTCTGCAGAAATCTGGTTCTCAGGAATGCTAATAGGGGCTTTTTGAAAACAAAACCAAAAACAGTACTCTGGGCAAATAAGTTTGAGAGACACTGAAAGTTAAACAGGTCTCTCTCTGTGTGGCTTTTAAATTTGCTACTGTGTGCTGGGCGCAGTGGCTCACGCCTATAATCTCAGCACTTTCGGAGGCCGAGGCGGGCAGATCACTTGAGTTCAGGAGTTCGACACCAGCTTGGCCAACAAGGCAAAACCCCGTCTTTACTAAAAATACAAAAATTAGCTGGGCGTGGTGGCACACACCTGTAGTCCCAGCTACTTGGAGCCTGAGGCACAAGAGTTGCTGGAACCTGGACAGAGTTGCAGTGAGCCGAGATCGTGCCATTGCACTCCAGCCTGGGTGACAGAGCAAGACTCCGCCTCAAAAACAAAAAATTAATTAATTAAATTTGCTACTGTGCATTGTGAACCTCCAAGGAGTGAATGGTGTTTTTTCAAAACTTATTTATCAGCTGTGCCAAAGTCCTTGAGGAGCAACTCTGGAGATCTGTGTGTTCCTTGGGAACCCACTCTGGAGAAGTCTGATCTGGCCTCAGTGGATTTATTTTTCTTTTTTAAATTTTTATTTATTTATTTATTGAGACAGAGTCTTACTCTGCCGCCCAGGCTGGAGTGCAAGTGGTGCGATCTCGGCTCACTGCAACCTCCTGAGTACAAGTGATTCTCTTGCTTTAGCCTCCCCAGTAGCTGGGATTACAGGCATGTGCCACCACACCCAGCTAATTTTTTGTATTTTTAGTAGAGATGGGTTTTACCATGTTGGCCAGGCTGGTCTTAAACTCCTGACCTCAAGTAGTGATCCACCACCCACCTCGACCTCCCAAAGTGCTGGAGTTACAGGCATGGGCCACTGTGCCCTGCTTGGATTTTTTTACTTTTCTGTAAGGGGTTTGCTTAAAGGTGAGGAAGAGGAACTCCCCTGCCAGATGGCGTTGACCAAAGCAGGGTTTGCTGGGTGGTCTTTCCTCGTGGGGGCTGAGTACAATTTCTGAATTGTGGTGCAACTGTACCACAGACTCTTTGGGGCCGCCAGGGTCCTACAGCAGAAAGCCCGGTCCCAGGTGCCCCGGTGACGCCCCTGCTTGTGTCTGTGGCTCCAGGACCGGGCACATGCTCACCCACCAGAAGACAAAGCCCTTCGTGTGCATCGAGCAGGGCTGCAGCAAGAGCTACTGCGACTACCGGTCTCTGCGCCGGCACTACGAAGTCCAGCACGGCCTGTGCATCCTGAAGGAAGCCCCTCCGGAGGAAGAGGCCTGCGGGGACTCCCACTACGCCCACGAGTCGGCCGGCCAGCCTCCCTCTAGCAGCCTGCGGTCTCTGGTGCCCCCGGAGGCCAGGTCCCCCGGCTCCCTTCTGCCCCACCGGGACCTCCTGCGCCGCATCGTGAGCAGCATCGTCCACCAGAAGACCCCTTCTCCTGGCCCGGCCCCAGCGGGGGCTTCAGACAGCGAAGGGAGGAACACGGCCTGTCCCTGCCCCGCCTCATCGGGGTCCTCCTCCTGCACCCCAGCCGGTCCCCCCGCGGCCCCAGCAGCGCTGGACACCGAGCTTCCCGAGGAGCCTCGTCTCTCACAGAAAGAGTCGGCCACTGACGTGTTCACAGCCCCTCATTCCAGGGCTGCCGAGAATGGCGCCTCCGACCCGCCAGAGCCTGAGCCAGATCCCGCGCTGCTCCAGGCCCGGTCCACCGCGGAGGGCTGGCCCGAGGGCGGCTCCGTGCCCGCCTGCCTGCCTCTCTTCCGAGGCCAGACGGTCCCTGCCAGTTCCCAGCCATCGAGCCACAGCTTCCAGTGGCTCCGGAACCTGCCGGGCTGCCCCAAAGGCAAAGGAAACAACATGTTTGTTGTCCACAAGCCCCCGGCCGTGCCGTCGCGGGAGAGCTCCGAGTCTGGCCCAGGACCCAGCAGCGCCGCCCTCTCGGAGGAGTCCCCGCCCGGCCCCGGGGGCGGCCTGGAGGACGCGTTGCCCTTCCCTCCCGCGCTCCTCAGGGCCCCCGGGGAGGCCCTGAGCGACACCAGGTCGGCCAGCGGAGAAGATGACCCCTGCGCCCCCAGGAAGGGCAAGCTCGACTGCGACTCCTTCCTGTGCCAGAACCCTGGGGAGCCCGGCCTCCAGGAGGCCCAGAAGTCTGGGGGGCTCCCTGCGGATGCCTCACCGCTCTTCCGCCAGCTCTTCCTCAAGTCGCAGGAGCCTCTTGTGAGCCACGAACAGATGCAGGTGTTCCAGATGATCACCAAGTCCCAGCGGATCTTCTCCCACGCCCAGGTGTCCGCAGCCTCCTCCCAGCTCCCCGCGCCTGAGGGCAAGCCGGCCGCCCTGAGGCCACTGCAGGGACCATGGCCGCAGCAGCTTCCGCCACTGGCTCCTGCTGTGGACTCTCTCAATGCCGGCCCTGGAAACCCCGAGGCAGAGGGCTCCCCAGCCCACAGGAGAAAAACCACACCCGGGGTTGCCAGAGAGGCCTCCCCCGGTAACACGAGACGAGACGCAAAGGGGGGACTGAAAGTGGCCGCGGTTCCAACGCCCCTTGCAGCGCCGTCTCTGGACCCTTCCAGGAATCCAGACATCTCTTCTCTGGCCAAGCAGTTGCGATCCTCTAAAGGGACCTTGGACCTGGGGGACATCTTCCCCTCCACAGGCCAACGGCAGACCCAGTTAGGTGGGGAGGAGCTGCCGGGAGCCTCGCTGCCCAGGAAGCAGGCCCCAGCTGAGAATGGCGCGGTTTCAGGGACCACGAAAGGTCAAAAGGGCCCACCCTGCTCCCGGGGTGGAGGCTACCGGCTCTTGGGCAACCCCAGGGCGCCGCGATTCTCCGGCTTCCGGAAAGAAAAGGCGAAGATGGATATGTGCTGTGCGGCTTCTCCGAGCCAGGTAGCCATGGCCTCCTTCTCATCGGCCGGGCCCCCAGCAGATCCCTCCAAGTCCAAGCTGACAATATTCAGCAGAATCCAGGTACCAGCTCTCTCTCACGTGGCCTGACCAGCGTGGAGTGAGTTTCCTTTGCATTTGTTAGTGTCCAGGCATTTTATTTCATTTCAGGGAATCCCTAGATGCAGTTTTACAAAGGAAGGAATTCAGGTTCCCAAAGTTTGTGGTTTTCCCCACTGAAAAAAAAAAAAGACCAAAATGAGGCCAGGTGAGGTGGCTTAGGCCTGTAATCCCAGCCCTTTGGGATGGGAGGCCGAAGTGGGGAAACTGCTTGAGCTCAGGAATTCGAGATCAGCCTAGGCAACATGGCAAAACCCTGTCTTACCAAAATTTTAAAAAAATTAGCTGGGTGTGGTGGCGCACACCTGTGGTCCCAGCTACTCGGGAGGCTAAGGTGGGAGAATTGCTTGAACCTGGGAGGTGGAGGTTTCAGTGAGCTGAGATTGTGCCACTGCACTCTAGCCTGGGTGACAGAGCGAGACTGTGTCTCAAAAACACAAAAAAGATCAACATGAGGATATTCCAGAGTTGTTCAAAACTCTGTTACCTCACTAAGCCTTTTTTTTTTTTTTAATCTTGTTTCCCTTTGGATTTACCTTTTTAGAGTCGTCAGAGGATATGAAGGTAGATGCCCTCTTTCCTTTAAAGATTCCTGCTTGAAATGGCCTTGTGTTTTCTGATTGTGACTCATGGTTTCCATGAGCACAAGTGGGCACCTGTATCGTGCCCCCACACTTCAGCACATTGACGATTATTCACTGGTTCCTCCAGACATTGTGCTTAGAGTGCAGGTCTCCAGACTCCAGGTCCAACCTGGGCAACATGGCGAAACCCCGTCTCTACCAAAATTTTAAAAAATTAGCTGGGTGTGCTGGCGCACGCCTGTGGTCCTAGCTACTCAGGAGGATGAGTAGTTTCCCATCATACCACAGCTACCTCATTTTTGTTTTATTAACAGCATTATTATTCAGGTGCCATATAATGCACCATTTTATTTTTTATATATTTTTTAGAGATGGTGGGGTCTTGCTATGTTGCCCAGCCTGGTCTTGAACCCCTGGGCTCAAGCGATAGTCTCAGCCTCCTAAAGTGTTGGGATTACAGGCATGAACCACCATGCCCAGCCAAATCCACCACTTTATTTTATTTTTAAAATTTATTTTATTTATTTATTTATGATGGAGTCTTACTCTGTCGCCCAGGCTGGAATGCAGTGGTGCTATCTCGGCTCACCACAACCTCTGCCTCCTGGGTTCAAGGAGTTATCTGCCTCAGCCTCCGAGTAACTGGGATTACAGGCATGCGCCACCACGCTTGGCTAATTTTTTATTTTTAGTAGAGATGAGGTTTCACCATTTGGCCAGTCTGGCCTTGAACTCCTGACCTCGTGATCCACCCACCTCGGCCTCCCAAAGTGCTGAGATTACAGGCATGAGCCACTGTGCCAGGCCAAATTTATTTTTGAGACAGAGTCTCACTCTGTTGCCCAGGCTGGAGTATAGTGGTGCAGTCTTGGCTCACTGCAACCTCTGCCTCCCAAGTTCAAGCGATTCTCCTGCCTGGGCCTTCCAAGTAGCTGGGATTACAGGCACATACCACCATGCCCAGCTAATTTTTGTATTTTTAGTAGAGCTGGGTTGTCACTATGTTGGCTAGGCTGGTCTTGAACTCCTGACCTCAGGTGATCTGCTTGCCTCGGCCTCCGAAAGTGCTGGGATTACAGGCTTGTGTCACGGTGCCCGGCCTGAATACACCATTTTAAAGCGTAGCATTGGGTAATTTGTAGTATATTCACAAGATTGTGCAACCATCCCCACTCTGCCAGAACAGTTTCATCTCCCCAAAAGGAACCCCACATTTCTTAGTTGTCACCCACAATCTCACACTCCCCCCAGCGCCTGGCAGCCACGAGTCTCCTTTCTGTCTCTGTGGATGTGTCTGTTCTGGACATTGCATGTGAGTGGAATCGTGCACCCTGTGGCTTTCGTGTCTGGCTTCCTTCACTCAGCGTGACGTTTTCCAGGCTCCTCTGTGGGGTGGCAAATGGCAGAGCTGCGTTCCTTTCCATGACTGAGTGATCCTCTGTTGGATGGATAAGGCCACATTTCATTTGTCTGTTCATCAGTGGATAGACATTTGGGTTGTTTCCACTTTTTGGCTATTTTGAATATAGTGCTGCTGTGAATATTCATCCATGTACAAATTTTTATGGGGATTTATGTTCTAGGAGTAGAATTGCCAGGTGGTACAGCAGCTCCCTGTTTCAGGTCTGAGGAACTACTAGGCTGTTTTGCTTGTTTCCTCTTCCCACCCACAGTGTATGAGGGCTCCACATTCTCCACATCCTCACCAACACTTGTTATTGTCTGTGGTTTGTTCAAATTATAACTACACTGGTGGGTGTGAAGCAGTATCTCATTGTAGTTTTGATTTGTATTTCCCCGTGACTGCTGATGTTGTACTCCTTTCTATGTGCTTATTGGCCATCTGTGTATCTTTCTAGAAGAAATGTCTGTTTAGGTCCTTTGCTTGTTTTTTAAAATCAAATTACTATTTTTTGAGTTCTCTATATATTCTGGATGCAAGACCCTTATCTGACACATGACTTGCAAATATTCTCTCATTTGTGGTGTGTCTTTTCACCTTATTTATGATACCATTTGCAGGACAAAAGTTTTTTTTTTTTTTTTTGAGACGGAGTCTCGCTCTGTCGCCCAAGCTGGAGTGCAGTGGCGCGATCTCCACTCACTGCAAGCTCCGCCTCCCAGGTTCACGCCATTCTCCTGTCTCAGCCTCCTGAGTAGCTGGGACTACCGGCGCTCGCCACCACGCCCGGCTAATTTTTGTATTTTTAGTAGAGCTGGGTTGTCACTATGTTGGCTAGGCTGGTCTTGAACTCCTGACCTCAGGTGATCTGCTTGCCTCGGCCTCCGAAAGTGCTGGGATTACAGGCTTGTGTCACGGTGCCCGGCCTGAATACACCATTTTAAAGCGTAGCATTGGGTAATTTGTAGTATATTCACAAGATTGTGCAACCATCCCCACTCTGCCAGAACAGTTTCATCTCCCCAAAAGGAACCCCACATTTCTTAGTTGTCACCCACAATCTCACACTCCCCCCAGCGCCTGGCAGCCACGAGTCTCCTTTCTGTCTCTGTGGATGTGTCTGTTCTGGACATTGCATGTGAGTGGAATCGTGCAC